TACATGTATATTTAATGTAATATAATAAAAATTAAATACAATAAAAAAATTAATACGGTATACAAGACAACATAAGTGGCATTCTCGAGAGACTATAGGAAATAAATTGATTGTGAGACTAAAAATTCGATTTTTAATTGGTTTAAGAAAGATTATACACATAAGTAGTACTTACATTTTTTGAGTATTTGTAAACATGTAGAATTTTTCATTTCTACAAGTCTTCACTCCACGGAATTAAGTAAATAAATTTATTATTATTAGGAACATGATGAAAATTTAAATCGATAATTGTTAATGATATTGGGATGGCAACAATCTAGATTTTTTTTCGCACAACACATACACTCTTTTACCCTCTTTAAGCCACTATTTCTTAGATGTTTCAGTTACCTTCACTTTTACTGTTTTCTCTGAATTTTGAGTTTTGAATCTTAAGTCACAAGCAACAATAATAAATACAACATTATCATTAATTGACATTATACTAGATTCTGACGATGGTAGCTTCACCTATAAGTAGTATGATTTAATATTTTTTCTCTGGAAAACTGAGCCCCATGGAAATTTAGTTAGTTTAATGAATCATTCAAATTGGTACTACCACTGGCAAACAGTGAAGGCAATCGAAAAGTCTGCTTCATCACAGACAAGTCCAAGCCCAAAGTATTTGAGACATCTACTTGGGCAATCAAGAACCGAAACTTGCACTTTAACATTAATCAGGAGACAAAGGAATTGAGTTTGGCACTATTGAGTGTTAGCGTAGCGGTTATATCCAACAATTGGATCATATACCTCAATGGAAATTAAATAGTATATTCTATAATATGATGGAGCTCGAGTTTGATGGAACTAAGCCTTCAATTTTGTTTTTTCTCTGGAAAACCGAGCCTCATTAAAGTTGAGTTACTTTAGTGAATCGTTCAAACTGGCACTACCACCGGCAAACGGCAAAAGCAATCGAAAAGTCTACTTCACCACAGACAAGTCCATGCCCAAAGTATTTGAGACATCTACTTGGGCAATCAAGAACCGAAACTTGCACTTTAACATTAATCAGGAGACAAAGGAATTGAGTTTGGCACTATTGAGTGTTAGCATAGCGGTTATATCCAACAATTGCATCATGTTCCTCAATGGAAATTAAATAGTAAATCCTATAACACGATCAAGCTCAAGTGTGAAGGGACAAAGCTTGCTACGCTTGTTTTTTTTTTGAATTTTTTTATATGAACATTTAAGTTGAGAAAACGGAAGAACTTACGAGAAATTGAAGAAAGCAAGGAGGAAGGCAATTTTTTTAATGTTATGGTTGATTAAATTTAAAATCAGTTATATCTGATTTAAATAAGATTTTAAACATTTTTGCTTGTAACTATCAATTTGCAAAAGAGTTTATATTATATGTTAAACAAAAAATTTGTTGTACCTTTGTTTAAGTAAGTTATAGTAACTTAATAATAAAATAATCTATGTTAATATAGATTATTTGTATTAAACTTCAAGTATGATGAGTATCACTCGTAGATTTTTATATCTTATAAGCATACACTGAGCAACCCAATTCTTAGAATCAAAGAAAATTTCTTTACCCTCATTCCGTTAAATATTTTCTTATGAGTAAAAAAATATAAGTTAATTGAAAATAATATTTTATTAAATTAAAATTTTCTTTTTTTAATTACGAATTTCTCATTTAGTTGTACGAAATGTTTTTTTGNTTAATTTAATTTTAATAAGAAAAGTAATTAGTTATGAGTTGCTTCATATTTTGTTACTTTCATTACTCTAACGTTATTTCATACTACCATATTTCTTGAATTTTAATTAGATCTTGTGACTGTGGATGTGTAGATCTTTACTATAGTAAAATAAAAATTTTGATCCTCAAAATTGTTAATAAAACATCCTGTAAATATTTATGTGATACCCCTGGAAATCAGAGTATTCTAGTTTATAATTAGAATTTTTTTTTATTAGAACAGGCTCGGTTCCTGTCAAATGTTCAGATTTTTTTTTCAATTATTTTCAACAAAAAAAAATATTTACGACAGTAGTTTAGAACCGACTTATCCTCAGAATTTTCTTTCTGTGTTTTTCTGGATTTTTCTATTCTCAACCCCTATGTGCAAACCTGGATGGAATTGCGAAATAGTGTTAAATGAGGTAGGATTAAGTGTGGTGAACAAAGTGAAATAACGAATCACATGGCTTATAATAGATATCCTAGACTTTACTAGCGGGTAAACTAGTATTTAGAAAAATATGACCCCCTCTAAAAAGACTACATAGCATGTTGGTGCTATCATCTTCGGGGGTAGAGGTGTCAGATGTAGATCTGAAAAAGACTTTCACTTGGGGCAAACTAAGCGAAAAATTAGACTGTAGCAGAGCGAGCAAAAGTACGATATTTAATCAGACAGTTTAATATTTAAGATAGTCGAAAAAACATAGAAAAATCCATGTTCATGGCTGTGACAGAGCAACGAAAAACAGAACCAAGTATATACAAAGGGTTCTGTCACGTGACTATAGACCTTACAGTTTGCTTAACAGTCACAAAATTTATCTTCTACTTTCTGTTTCACCATCATCTCCCTAAAGCTTCGTTTGAATTATATTAGGAGTTATTGCTTACAACATATACTCCTCCTAATTTAACATTGTCAAAGTATACCGAGATAGACGAGGTCAAAGTAATAATAGCCTATTAGGAAACAGTATACATTTATACACATTTTTTTATCCTTGCACTGTACAAAAAAGGCCTCTGCATTTATAACGTTGGAAGGAGATTCAATAATTTTCTCAAAATGCAGAGAAAGCAGTAAAACTTTCAACAATCACTAATCAGAGTGTCAGGAAATCTGTGAGAATTTTTTAAATATTATTTACCAAAAATTTTATCATCGATAACTAACTCCTAGTACAAACACTTAAGGACAACCATTTCTTTGTTTTACCCATTCTATCGCTTTTTCTTTTTTTCTTCCTTCAAAAGACAGATTACTCTCTACATAAATATATCCATACCTTTTAAACTGCATTAATTTTTCAAAAAATTTTTTTATCATCCTAGCAACCCAATTTCACAGCAATCACCGTTCCACTCATATGCACACTTACAACATCTTCTCTCGCATTCATCCCTTTAATAAAAAAAAGTCCTCGACCCATTCTTTCAAACTTGTTGCGCTAACCTGACGCTGACGTACTCCCTTGATGACGACGTTCTGACTCGCTCTCCTCTCGTTGACCATCAGCAGTTTTTTAATATTAATCACCTCTCTGTCGGTAAGGCACTTTCAATGTCAGTTATCCCAAACGTTGTATGCTTGATTTTGGTATCCAGCATCGACTGCTTGCGCCTATCCTTGTAGCCCAGCTTCACTATACCTCCCTCTTTTTCTTTCACTTTCCTCATCAACACTTTTTTTTCTCAATCATCAGATTACAATACATGTTCCATTACTCAGCGAGCGAAGATTGCTTCCTGTGCTGGCCATGTTTGCTGTGCTGCTCATACTCTTTGTCGTTTGGCTACAAATCCTTTCCTAACCTGCAAACCACGGCACGTGCGTACATCTAACCTTACTTTTTCCGGCATGCTTTTCACTCCCTCTGCCAGTTGTAGAGCTACTCTGCCTCCTTGACTTATTACTTTGCACGTTCTGTGGCTTCCCAGCAACAATGGGCACATACACTAACATGAACCAACACCAAACACAAAAAATTCACAACGGCACGGACACTTAAAGCCATGTAGTCCGTACGCTGCGGCTCCTCTGAATAGAATGCAACTCAATTTTGTTGTATATTTGGTGAACACAATCCTAAAAGAAGTTATTACTTTGAATTCTATTCTCTATTGGAAAAATTACATTTATACCTACGCAGTAATAGTTACTGTTGTCTTGGTTGTACTTATAATATAATTCACCAATTTCTTTTTATACTCATATTGAGCAACCAAAGTACATGCTTCTTTGGAAATTTTTTTCTAGATAATGTACAATTGAAACAAGTTCTTACCTCGAATCACCAGCAACAGCCAAAGAATCTTCAAAATGACCATCTCAGCAAAGCAACCAAGTGTAAATGTCTTAAGTCTCCCGTATTCGTTAGTAATTATGAGTAGGCAATCCAAAAAATGTCTATTATCAATAGTTGGCTCGTACATTCTCTGATAAAATAACAACTCGATGCGTCACGTCTATTCTACATGAATCGTTATCAAAGACTATTTCATGTTATTGCTATCAGTGGTGCAATAGAGTTTTTGTATCACTAATGCTTCAAAAAAGTGCAGAGTAATTATTAATAAGAAAAACCACAAGGTAAGAAATTCGAGGCGACCATTTTCGTGCCACTTAGCTCAAAATCCTATATTTTTCTCTCCCCTACCATCTAATTCCCTGTGATGTTGATCATTAACTTAAAGGACCTATGAGGTATACACCGCACCTTCTGCCCACCTACTTTCTTAGTTTAGACGGTTAGGACAAACAACCTTATGTTGCAGTTAGTAAGCAAAGGGAATTACTAGTAGTGGAAAATAGTTGAGAGAATCATTGTAACTGAGGGAATTAAAAAAATCACATTATATAAGCTGTGTATATATTACCACATTCAACTTTAATTAAGCTTTGGGTGGCTAAGATATGAGCAGATAAGATATAGTATAATTATCGAAACGCCCAGCATATGATACATCAATTTTCCAAACCTATCAATCCCCTCTTCCAAGATATTTTATACTACTCAACTATGATGATTTAAACATCAATGGAAACATTATAAACTACGTATAACCCCGAGTCAATAATTTTTAGACCGATGCATTGTCTTTTCATTAAAAATCTACAAACATCTCCTGCAACCTCCTCGTGCAATACGTTAATTTTTTAATTTTACAGCAAAAAACGAGCTTTTTTCTCCCAAACTCACAATTAGTTTTAAAATTTATTTTTGGCTAACGAACCTGTAAATTGTTACAGATGTCATCGACGTTACACGCACCGTCGGCTGCTGAGCTGACGAACTTGAGCAGCGCGGGGTCAGAGCGTACCCTGGCCACCTCGGCAGGTAGCCACTCGCACGGCAACAATCGGCGTCAGCATCACCACCACCGGAGTCGCAGTGCCCCACGTGCCCCTGAAAAACCATCGCGACGACGAAACATGAATTCGGGGCATAGCTTCGCCTCCATACCCAACCAGATCAGGCTGTCGATGCTTAACAGCGGCCTCATTTCTTTCGGTGAGTATGCGCCATAAGGTCGAAAGGTACTATTTACCTTTCCATCATATCACGGCAAATGAGGAAGTAGTGTCTACATCACTAGTACAAACATATCGTTCAAAGGGTACGGGAGTATTTATTCATATGGATGTATTTTACCAGGAAACAAGCCACGTGTGATGTTAAGTAGGAGTACGAATTTCATGTGGGTAAATTTTTCAGAGGAATCTTCTCAAGGTACATTTATTGCTAGAATAAATGGGGAGATGGGTCTGTGTGTCATGGGGAACCTTGTAACGAAGCGAAAAAGTTAATTTTACAACCGTCATAGTATTTTGCTTAAAATTATCCGTGAACCTTCTACTTAAGTAAAAATGTGTTCTTCTTATATGTTCCCAATCGATATGTTTTGCCTAAAGTATTCCCGTCTCATTAAGGCAGATACATAAATTACCGTTTAGACATCGATAAAACTTTTCAGAGTGAATTTTTCCCAAGATATCTAAAAAAAGAATATTATAAGTAATTTTTTTTTTTATTATCAGTTAAACACATAAGGATTTCAAAGGTCACTTTTACATTGCCTTTCGTGGGAACATAAAACAAACCCATCAAAGAGCCTGTAATCCCACGAAAATCATCCCTAGGGTTCACCCACTCTCCCTCCCTCTCTCTCTCTTTCACTCTTTTGTATGCAGACTTCAAGGTATTCGCGTCTTTACGTAAAATCTCATTTAAATGACAAACACACCCCCATTAGTAAGCCAAGCGATTGGTGGAGTAATCTCATCTCACAGTATGAGACAGAATGATGCTATTATTTTCAAAGCATCAAATGGATAAAAGCATCCTTGATGTGAGAAAAATAATGTTTAAAACAAAAGGAAAAAATCGTATGCGTTTTAGGCAGAGATGACTCTTGTGATGAAGCTGTTTTACTGATAAAATTATAGATATTTTAATAATCTTTTGGTGTGTTAAATTCGATGGAGGACAAAGGAAAAAATTATTGCTTTGTGACATTTTTAGATTACTGAAGTTATTTGGAAATAATTTTATTTTAGTTGACGTACATAAGTATCCTGCTTAATGTAAGTGATGACTTTTTCATCAAACTTCGTTGACTGAGCCCTTAAATAAATAAGTAATTTTTATTATCTTTTTTAAGCATTGACAACTGTTTGTTTCTATAAAGCAAACGTTATTGACGATATTCAACTTCAACTTATATCTCCAAATGCAAAATTTGTTTTGTTTGTTTAACCATCAGAGTTTAGTACAAAAAGAACACTAGAAAAAAAATTCAAAATCCCATCTGATGTAAATTACTTAGTCAAGTCTTCAAACTAAATTTATTACTTAGATAACGCAAACACTTATATTCCTATTCCTCCTTTTCATTATCATAGAAATATTTTGTATCTGATTACACCTGTTTTTTTCTGTAAAATAGTTCACTTCTGTATAAGAAAAGTTGTGTCTAAAAATTTACGCATTAAATATTATCAGGCGTAAAATAAATCCATTAAGATATTGGGTGGTATAAAATGATGAGATCATACTAAAAAATAAAAAAAAATAAAATAAAAATATGTCTTTTACATTTTCGAACCATTTGCAAGTAAAAAAGATGAGGAGTGAGAGCAGAAGGAGAGGACGTACTTTTATGCAAAAAATTGCTGACGCCCTTTGCTCCTCTCGCTCGGAAAGTTGCATACATCGACCACTAACGTTCCACAGGCAAAGTTTGCGTGGCACTTTACATGCATAAATGATACATTCACATCGACCGAAAATAAACCGCGAGCAAGCCCAGTTTTTCCAGGGAAAAAAACGCATTTGCATCAAAAAGAGCATTCGCGTTTCCAATCGTCGAACCCACAACTTGAGGAAAAAATTGATTCCCAATCGGCTGGCGTCGAACGAAATTGAATCGAAGTTAAAAAAAAAAAGTCATCTGCCAGGCGCACTCCCAATTTTAATCGATCGAAATTCCCGATCCCCCCCTATACCAGCTGTGTATTTTTAACCCCAACGCAGCAAGAAGAGAGAAAAAAAAAGAAGCGCTCGGAGTAATCCGGGGAATTTCTTCCGGGCCGGGCTTGAAATTTTTCAGAGAGCACATATCCCTCGACGGTCTCTCACGCGTGCTTCAGCCGCTGTATGTTAATTATCCGATGCGACGAGTATCCTTACCGCCTTCCTCATTAGAAAACCCCTTCATTTTCACTCGAGTGATCGCAACGATCTTGTTATGAAAAAAAAAATAATAATAATTGAATCGTCGGTGGACCAGCGATTATTGTTAACAAAAAAAAAAAGTTAGTTTCGTGAAGAGACTCACTACAAATAGACAGCGAGTAAAACGTCGTCGCGACGCTTAGTAAACACGTGGGGCTCAACGGGAGGCTCTCGGCGGTCCGTAAAATCACCACCGCTACTCGATTTCAGAACCAAAATAAATAATAGACAAGGCGGAGGTTCGGAGTCGCGTAGCGGCGCGATATCCATCAGGCGCGTGCGGAAACAAGGTCGTAAAACGCCGGTGTACATTAGCCGGTCGAAATATCAAAGCGAGAGCGAGCTACATGGGCGCGGCGTGTAAGATGGATGGAACATCGGTGGAGGTGCAGTTAACTCGGCCGCGACGCCCGTGGCTTGATCTTGACACGAATGCCCATACGAGCGGAGCCGTCGAAAATTTTCGGTCTCTCTTTTCCTCGTTCGATTCGCGCGTAGGCGGGTGATGATGCGTTCGGCCGTCACGATGCGTTTGCGGTGTCTCTTCCCCCCCTCCCTGTCTCCGAGTACACCGATGTGAGTCAGGAAGGCTTCGTGGTTGGCTCGCTTGAAGAGACTTTTCGTACATGGGCTCTCTTGGTCGCTTTTTTTCACCTGTTTTTTATACTTTATTCTCATACCAGATAGTAGCATTGGCTGTTACTTTCCTTCATCGATACGTAAAACGCAAGAAAAAAGCTCTCGTGTCTTCGGAGCATAGATTTCATGCTATTCCTCGACAAAAACTTCAACTGAGCATTTTCATCGTTAATTTCGATGCCAATTCGCAAAAACTTGAGATAGATGATCCAATGAAGTTTCTGTATGAATTGTCGAGTCATGAGGTCATCTCTGACCAATCACGTCACGAATCAAAGAAGGACCATTACGAATCTATACACTACTTTCACACTAGCATATGTGTCAACGAATGAAAAGTTTTGTTTTTCTTTTTCGTGGAAATAGTACCATTGGGTACCCTTGTCATGTCAACTGTCACAAAGTAATTTGGTAAAAAAAACGTAAACATGAAATTACTTATGAAAAACATTGTGAAATAATGTCTATTATCACAATTTCAACAGTGCGAGTACGTGGATCCCTTTTTTATACCCGAACCAAGTTGTCATAGCTTTCGTCCAATGGCCACGAAAAATCAACACTTGGACAACATGTAATTCACTCCCTCCAAACACCCCACATGATCAGCTAGGGCCGATTCCAAACGGGGAGGCGTGTCCCATCGACCGTCCCCACAAAAGAAATGTCAAATGACTATTTAAAACCACGGCTTTTTCCATGTCGTTATCCACAAATCGCTTCCGGTGTACAAGCGACGAAAAATCGATGGGACAGCCGCGATCCGAGGCTTTTACCCCGAGCGAGTGTCAAAGGCTTGCGCGAACGCACGTGCAAACAAAAGCCCGTCTTGTCCACAGGTGGTGTGCGCAGCGCACGAACGCGGCTCGTATCGATCTCTTCGACGTTATTTTCCCACTTGGGATATATTTTTCACGAGTCATACGGGTCAAGGAGGACGAATGTACTTTTTTTTTCCTGTCACTCCTCGTACCGGGCCCATCCAGCAGCAAACTCTTTGTAGTAACCTGTGAGTAGGACCCGGAAGTTGCTTACGAATCGTGGCTGGGAGGAAAGGTCTTGGCGCGTTTTTTAGCATAGACGTCCGTTTTGCGGGTAAGGGGTGATACGTGCACTGACCGCCGTTGTCACGCGTCAAATGACCGGGGGAGAATGCACGAGTCCAGTGAAGTAGGGTTTAGACCCAGAACTTGAAAGACAAAGAGCGAGGCGTGTACGCGAGTTTCATTAATTGTTTGTTACGGAATATGGGGCGGGGGAGAGCACTCCGGGGTGATTCGAACGGCAGAGGGAAGCAAAGGTGTCACCTATATATATACATATTTATTGTATATGATGCGCATAGGGTTGGCAAGCGACGCACGTAATAAACTTCGCGGGAGGAACTCGGTGAATCCGATTGAGCTGCTTTCTTAGCGTGAAATCTTCACCCGAGGAGCTCGCGGGAAATTTTCGAGAACTCTAGCTAACTTTTTGTTGTTATTCCTTTTCTTTTGAGTTGGTTTTATCATCCGCGTGGAGATGAGATTGTTTTTTTTTTTTTTTTTTTTTTTTTTCGTCTTTGGTGAAGAATATTTGGTTATCTCCGGAGAGAGGGGATATAATTTCATTCGTGAGGAGCGAAATTGAGTTGATTCTGCATTCCGCACGTGCCTCGCTGTGTGTATAGTATATTCATGTGTACGTATATAGATACACGAGTGGTTAGCGGGCGCGAGTCTTTTGTCCGTGCACGTGAGGGTGGATTTTACCTCGACAAATAAAGTTAATTTACGATGTTTTGCGGCCACTTCCTTTCTTCCCCGCGCTGGTTTCTTTATTTCCTTAAGTTTCACGAGTTGCGAGTGAAAACGTTCTGTATGGAATTTTTTTTTTTTTCTTATGTCCATTTTCATGCTCGTTCGCGTAAATTAGCAACATATTTAATTTCTCAAAATTGCTACTTTTAAGATGTTTTCGACAACTCGAAAGATTTGAATAAAAGAGGCCAAAGGGACACTTGGGAGATATTTTGAAACATTTTTATTATTAATATGCTACGTGAATTTTAAGATGTTTTATTTTACGATGAACCTTTTCTTTTACTACTATAAAAAACGATAAAATTTGTATAAATACACATTATTCACATTTTATTT